CCAAAAATTTAAGCCTTTGGGTTGTTGGCAGAGAATGACATAGCCATTTTCATGGAGGACGGTTAACATAAAAGCTCATTTTGTAGCAGATTAAACCTGAAATTGAAGAAAAATTATGTAGTAAAAGAAACCTGTCCATCCTACAAAAGACCAGGTGTATTTTTGTTCTTTTAAAAAAATTTTCTATATTTTTTGCTCCATGATTTTAGTTAAATCTAGTCAACTTTAGTTCAGCTAGCACTAACATAGAATAATTTGGAAATAAATTTGATTTTTTTAAGACCATGAGTCTGTGTACCCTGGCCTGAAGACCAAATCAACTTGACTCCTGTTTTTTTTTTTTTTAATTAAAATTTTTTATTAGTATGCAGTTAATAGTGCCTGCTGTTTACATTCCTTGTAGGGAATTGGTACATATACACAGAACATTTTAAATTCCTTTTTCCACCCCCTTTTTCTTTCCACCTCCCCCTCACTCTTTTTTGTCTTTTTGAGACAGGGTCTCACTACGCAGTTTAGGCTGGGCTTGAGCTCACTTTGTAGCCCAGGCTGGTCTTGAATTTGCAATGATCCTCCTGCTTCAGCCTTCAGGGATTACTGGCATGTGCCACCATATCTGGCTTCTTCTCCATTCATCTTTTGAACCCCCTTTTCTTTTTGGTGCATGTTTGCAGTGCATAATGTTTATATTCTTTGTTTGGAGTTGATAGATATGCATAACACATCTCAATTCTTTTTTCATCCCCTTTCCTCTCTCCCTCCTTGATCTCATTTCCTTTTGAGAAAGATCTGTCTCCCTACTTCCTATGATCTAACTTTTATTTATACCTTGGGTTTCTCATATAAGAAGAATCACACAGGACTGGGGATTTAGCTCAGCGGCATAAGCGCCTGCCTTGCAATTGTGTGGTTGTGAGTTCAATCCCTGGTACTGATACAAAAAGAAGAAGAAGAAGAAGAAGAAGAAGAAGAAGAAGAAGAAGAAGAAGAAGGAGAAGGAGGAGAAGGAGAAGGAGAGGGAGGGGGAGGGGAAGGGGGAGGGGGAGGGGGAGGGGGAGGGGGAGGAGGAGGAGGAGGAGGAGGAGAAGAAGAAGAAGAAGAAGAAGAAGAAGAAGAAGAAGAAGAAGAAGAAGAAGAAGAAGAAGAAGAAGAAGATTAGTCTTATTTATTTCATGTAACATTATGGTCTCAAGATGTAACCCTTTTGTTGAAAATAACTCAGAGTTGTCTTTATGGCAGAAAAGTACCCCATTGTCTTAGTTACTTTTCTTTCATTGCTGAGACAAAATACCTGACATTCAAAGTTAAAGGGGGAAAGATTTATTTACGGTTATGGTCTGTATAGGTTTCAGTTCAAAACCTGCCTACTCCAAGGCAGGGTGGCACATGGCAGAGGGGCAACTGTGTATGGCAACGGAAAACAACAAGAGACTTACAGTGTCTTTCTGCCCCTTTTATCTTACCCAGACTGCTGGGATTAGGGATTATTTCAGAAAGATTTCTAGAGGGGAACAACAGCTGGGTCAAGTGGAACTTTTGGGGGGTATTGAGAGTCAAACTCATGACCTTGTATTTGCCAGGCAAACACTGTCATTGAGTTATATCCCTGGCCCTCAGGTGGAATTTCTACTTTTACTTTTTTGAGGCATCTTCATACTGATTTATGAAGCGGTTATACAAGTTTACATTCCCATTAGCAATGTAGAAGTTTCCCTTTCCCTGAAGCCTTGCCAGGGATTTTGTTTAGGTGATTTTATTTTATTATTTTTATTTTTTAATTATATTTTATTATTATTACTTTTTTGAGACAAGGTCTTATTATGCAGTTCGGACTGAGCTCAAATTCACAGCAATCCTCCTGCTTCAGCCTCTCAGGTATTGGAATTACAGTCCTGTGCCACTACATCTGGCTAGCATTTGTTATTATTTGATACTTTAATGATGACTATTCTTTCTGAGGTTAGATGGTATTGTTTTAATTTGCATTTCTCTATCGGTCAGCAATGTTGTATATACTGGCTGTTTGTACTTCTTCTTAGACGTGACTGTTCATTTCATTTAACCATTTTTTTGATTGGGTCTTTTATTATTTATTTATTTATTTTTTGGTACCGGGAATTGGACTCATGACCTTGCACTTCCCAGGCAGGCACTGTGCCACTGAGCTGTATTCCTGACCTGAGTCTTTTACTTTTTGAGGGGTCTAGTTATTTTGAGTTCTTTATATATTCTAAATATTAGTCCTCTGTCTGGGGGGGTATAGCTATGAATTTTCCTCTACTCTTTAGGCTGTCTTTTCACTCTGTTGGTTGTTTCTTTTGCTGTGTAGAAGCTTTTTAATTTAGTATTATCCCATTTATTGATTTTTAAAAATTTTTTATTTTAAAGAGAATAAAATGTAGCAAAATTAAAACAGAATGAAGCCAATTAAAACAAAACAGTGTAAGTGACACAGGACTTCAAGATAATAGGAAATCAACAGTGGCTACCATAATGTCTCTTGTCTTCAAAATAGCTGCCCATACAGAACAGAATAGAACTAATGAAAACAAAACAATGCAATAAAAGATTTTAAAACAAGATAACAGTAAATCCAAAATGGCTACCATAATATATCTTGCTATCTTTGAAATAGCTGCCCATGTCATTGGACGTAATAAAATCAAACAAGACAAAACAGAATAAAACCCAATCAAACAAGACAATGAAAATGATATAGGACTTCCAAATAAGATAATAGGGCATTAACAGTGGCCACCGCCTTCAGAAGGAGATCCCCCATATATGCTGGACAGATGACCAGATTACTGGCTTTAGGCCTACAAAGTCATTGAAACACTAAACACTTCAAGCATTAAGTTGTATTTTACCTCAATAGCTATCGTAGCAGCCTGTGTTTCTCTGCATCAGCCAGTCACTTCTGGAGAGTGGGGTGAGGGACTTTGGCTCTTCTTGTCTTTCAGCTTGTGCGTAGAAAGGAGCTGGCATCAGGTTCTTCCCTGATTCTTGGAATTACTGAGTCTGAATCACTGGATTGAGATATGGGCAGATAAAAACTTGAGAGCTGATGAGTTTTTCAGGATAAGTAGGGCCAATGGTTATGGATCAGGAAGACTTATATAAATGAAGCAAGGAAGAGCTTGAAAAATGTTTAGAAATACCACGAAATCAGAAGTCTTGAGAATGTATATTACCTTAATGATTGAAGGAGGCAGACAACAGAAAGATGGAAAATCACACGGGCATGGTGGTGCCCATCTGTAATCCCAGTCACTTGGGAGATTGAGACAGGATTATGAGGATTATGAGTTCAAGGCAGGGACAGCCTGGGCAGTTTGGGGAAACTCCTATGTCAAGAGAGAAAAGGGAAGGGAGGGAGAAGGAGAAGGAACAGAGAGAGATGCAGAGAGACAGAGAAAGACAGAGAGAGACACACAAAGAGAATAAGAATGTGGATGAGGATGAGAATGAGAATGGGAGAATGAATGAATCCAGGAAGCATCAAGCATGATTGGCAATGTAGGAGGCAGAAAAGGATACAGACTTCATTTTGGTTATAATTTATTATAGCTACGTATGTGTTGAATAATTGCCCATAACTTGGTTTTAAGGTATTTGCTTAAAGTAAGCCCAAATAAATGAGCTGATTTTCTGCATTTGTAAAAGCTAGTAATTTTTGTTTAGTCTAACATGTATTTATTGAACACTTTCTTGTGCCAGGCACTGGGGTAGGTTTGTAACCTGAGCGATATAGAAATAATCCACTCTAGACCTGGATTTCAAAGAACCTGCAGCAAGATAAGCTTATGTATCTAAACACTAACGATGCAGGGAAGAAAGCAACAGGAAGCAAAGGCAGGACTAACATGCATAGGGGAGTGGTGGGCAGAGAAGTTGCCCCTGGTGTGGAGACCCGGAGAAATAGCAGTGTTTGAGCGAAGCTTTGGGAAATGGGAGAGGTGAAGCAGATAAGTGGAGTAGGAAAAGGAAGCGCAGGTTACAGTGTGTGGACCCCGCGACGCTATCCACTTTGTCTAGTTGTGCCTTGCTTCACAGGGGGACACTGTGAGAAGGGCTCACTGCGAGGACACCCTGGGGTGCGTGTGCAGGCCGCTCTGCATGTGGCTGCAGGATGCGTCCATGTGGTGGCTGATGGGGCCTGTCTCTCCCACGAGCACTCCTGATGCTGACGGTTGACTGGTCTCTGGAACCTCCTATGGTATTGACATGTACTGCCTGATTGTTTGCGGTATGAGTTTAGCTTACCAGAGATATCATCATTGTTAAGTTACTTATCCCAGGCCTTACCTGTGCTGGCCTCAGTAATAAAGCGCACTTAAGTAAGACCAGAACTCTTTTCCAGTAGAACAAGTAATACAGGTAGATTACTGGGGTTGGGGATTTAGCTAGGTGGCACAAACACCTTCCTGGCAGGTGTGAGGTCATGAGTTTGATCCCCAGAACCAGAAAACAAAAAAAACAAAAAACAAAAAAACAAAAAAAAAAAAAAAGAAAGAAAGAAATTTACAGGTAGATTACTGACTTGGTTTGATTTTGAGGATGACAGGTTAAAATTTAGGAATAAATTGTGCTTGGATTATCTGTAACTTCATTTTATCCTTAGCCTTTTCTGTAGTGACAGCCAAAATAAACTTGAAGTAATTTCCTGTGAGGTTGGTATGTGTTATCTTTGCTTCATAAATTTGTGAATTATTAATTTAACCTAATTCTTGCTTTGTAAATAACAGAAGTTGAATTAAATAGACTGCTGAAATGACAGGTCACTTTTTTATGTAAGCAAATTGAGAAGAAAACCTCTAAAATTTCACAAAATTAATGTTGCAGTTGAATAAAAATAAACGTCTACAGGTAAAATAAACTGGTTTGTTTATTAAATCATTATAATTTAAAACTAATTTTCTAATCCTTTTAAATGCAGGTTAAGGCAAAGTAATCAAAGAAGAATTCACCCCCTTTTTTTTAATTCTTTCTCCCAATAGGACCAGACATATTACCAATCATTTCAGGTCTCCGAATACGGTAAGAATTCCTTAGTTATTTTGAAAGAAAAATTTATTACTTTTACTGAGAGAAGATAAATTTTGAAGAAATATATTAAAGTAAAAATCCCAATGGAGATAAAATTCTGGTGTTTCTTATAGGTCTAAACATGCATTTCCCTTTTAAATGTTTTAGAAATGTTATAAAGAAAAATGTAAGAAAAATATTATCTGGGGTCTCATTATGCCAGTTTTTACTTATATGTGGTTTTTCTTTTTCTTTTTCTTTTTTTTTTTGTACTTTGTTGCAATGACCAAATACTTGAAATTTTGCTTTTTACATACTTAGCGTCAGGGCTTGGGTGTAGCAGGAATGTAGAGCACCACAAACAAAGCAGAACAAAACACAACCCCCAAATTTAATATCCATTACTTAACATAGTTTACAGTACTTAACACTGGTGAAGATATAGTCTTGCCGGTTACTGCCCTTGGAAATTGCATTAGAAAGCACACAGATGAAAGCATGGGTCCAGCTATTTTCTTGTTGGATAGAAAGGAAGGAGAGACCCATAGAATCTCAGTATTGGTGTAGGACATGTATAGCTACTTTGCGTTTACAAATGATCCTTTTTATTTGATTCATGCCTTATTTCCTTCAGGCACTAGACATTCTGGAAAGTAGTTTGCTGACACCTTTGTGACTCAGGTGCTCACAGCTCACATGGTATTTTCTGATCTGTGGTTTATGATTCCTTGGAGCAGTAGTCAGAAAAGTATCTTCCGGAAACCGGCCCCTTGGTATTCTCGGAGACTCTGTGAGCCTTGTCTCTGTTGCAGTACTCACCTTGTGAATGAGAGAGCAGCTGTAGACTATGTGTCAGTGCATGTTCTTGGGTTACAGTAGCAAAGTTCGTTTAATGGACATAGACATTTGAATTTCATGTAACTTCACATAATTTTCCTTTTTTAAAAAAAACCAATTAAAAATAGTTAAAGCCACTGTTAACTTATGCTGGCTATAGCTTGCTGGCCCCTGATCTGGGCTGAGATTGATCACTTGCCCTATGTGACTGCTCAGTGCTAGACATGCACCTGGTCCTGGGAGAGAGGTACCTTAGGTGTGCAGCTCACTCCAGCCTCCTGAGACTTAGTGCAAGAAGGAGAAAGACAGTAGTCCATTAACAGCTGATTTATTTAGATTGCAGATAGATTAGATGCTGGATATACAGGGTTAAAATATTGCAAAAACTGCTTTGACCTATTTCTTTTTACTTTTTAAATGCTAATGCTATAAATGAAAAGTTACACACGTAGCTTACATTTCTTTTGGACAGTGCTGATCCAGACATATATCACGGGAGTCCAATTTTTGCAGGCTGTTTTCATGTCACACTGTGGGGTGCTGGGTGGGTGTATGTCATTGCTGGGGCATGGCATGGGGACTGACTGCCAGCCTGTCATGCCCAGACATCTGATTTCCTTAGCCACAGGCTCATGGGCTTTTGTGACATTTGTCTCATGTTAATTGCAGAGTGCAGTGCCTGTTTATATGAGACTTTCATCTACTTCTTTGGTCAATAAGGTTATAGAAAAGTTTTCCTATAGAGCAGGCCAAAAAAATTATTTTTTTTGGTGTTGTACATCAAGCAGTATTAATTATAGAACATTTCATATTTAATTGTATAAAATTGATTTAGGTAAGGATTTATGATTTTGAATAAAATATAGGGCTTTTCATCTATGTTAACATATATTTGGATCCTGATAAATTTTAAGTTCAAATATGACCAGGTATCAACACTTTTAGAATGTCTCTGTTTTTGTATTTTGGCCAGCTGAAGTGGATAGTGAAATATTGCTTTTCTCTTTCAGTATTACCAAAATTTGAAGTTGTTCTCCAGACACCATTATACTGTTCTTTGAATTATAAGAATTTAAATGGTACCATCACAGCCAAGTAAGTCTCATTTTTCTTTTGATAGGATTGTATACCATTTTAAAATTGTATGGCAAAAATCCCATTATGTTGTCCAGAATATTAACATGTTTCATTTTCGAAAATGCCCTAACAGGCACTAGGGGACTAGGATATGTCATTCCACGTACATGAACTGTGGCAAAGGCTATCTAGATGTGCAACATCCGTGCAGATGTTGACCTTTTGTTTTCAGACCTACTGAGAGTCTGTATGAGAACCCATAATTCAGCTTACTGTGCAGTGCACCCTTGTAGGAGAGCTTTGGCCAAAATAACTTGGTCCCAGATGACCACAGCATATCTATCCTGTCAGACTCATTTCTAGCAGAGTTCCTTCCATCTGTAAATAGGGTGTACTCAGCATTTGCCAAGGTATTTATCTTTAAGTCTGGCTGGCTTGAGAACAGCTCATTGGTTAGTGCCAGGCAGTCATGGTCTAGAGGGCCCAGGTTGGTGGGCAGGTACATGGCAGGACTGAGTAATTTTACTGTCGTAAGAGTCAGGCAAGGATTTTCACATAAAGAGTTCTTGGCACTAGGTGACCTGGCATTGGAGAGCCAGCAATGTCCACAGTTATTCAGGAGGTCCAGTACAGCAGGTAGCACCTGGATGGTTAAGTCTAGGCCTAAGGTGAGCTTTTTAGCTTCCCTGATCAGAAGGATGGTGACTGTTAGAACATGGAGGCAGGGGGGCCAGCCCTTAGCAACTGGATCCAAGTGTTTGGACAGGTAGGCCACGGGGTGCTCCCAGGGGCTAACAGTTTGACTCGGCATCTTTGAACCCACACATTGTTATATACAATCAAATTGAATGGATGATTTATATGTGAAATTTCCAAAGCAGGGGAAGCAGACAGGGCCTTTTAAATGTCATTGAAGGCTTTTTCTTATTCTGGGTTACAGTTGAAAATGTCAAGAGTCTTTCCCATAAAAGAGATCATATTGGGGCTTTACTTTTTTTGTCAACTCAGGGACTCAGGGATCTAGATTCTGCAGAATCCAGCAGCTGCAAGGAATTCAAGCCATTTCTTTCTTGTGGTTGGGGCCAGTATGGGGCAGATGACCTCTTTTTTTTTCTCCTTTATAGTACAAGGGCATGGTGTGTGATGTAAGTCAAATCCAGGTATCTGACTTTTTGTTTATAGGTTTGTGTCTTTTTCCAAGATACCTTGTAGCCGGCTTCTGTCAGATGTTATAGCAGAGCTTTTGTGCCTTGCCAGTAGGAAGCTTGGGTGTCACTAACCAGAAGATCATTAACATATTGGAGGAGGTGCAGTGATACTTTTTGGTGGGGATATTAGTGAGGTCAGCTTTGAGGGCTTTTCTAAAAATGGTAGGTGAATTTTATGACTCCCTAGGGAAGCAGAGTTCAGGTCAGCTGACTTTAGAGCTCAGAACTAGGGTCTTCCCATTCAGAGGTGAAGATGGGTGTTTCCTCAGTGATAGTAACTTTTTACTTTTTTTGAAAAGGAGCAACAGGTTGGGTAACTATAGACCGTTCTGTTTCCACTGTCGTAGGAATGTTGTAGGTTGACTACCAGTACAGATGTGGACCATGGACTCCTGGAGGCCGAGCTGAAGAAGGGAGCCTGGACTGGCCTAGTGTGAACCCCTCAGACTGATGAAAGTGTTGCCATCTAATATAGAATGGGGCTCTTGAGAATGTTTATTTTTTAATCTGAATGGGCATTTATTCTTCCAGGACCCATAGTCTTTACATATTGGTCTTTGGTCAGAGAGTATGATTGTCTACCAGACTGGATTTTCTCGCAGATATTAGGTGCTGCTTGCACAATTGAAGGCTGTATTTACTATCTGTAGATTTTCTGGGGCCTCAGGATCAAAAGGAGTAGAGACCCCGGAGGCTTTAAAGAGTCTGTCATAAAAATCTGAAGGACTTTTATGGGTAACAGTAGTAACTTTTGACATATTGGTGGGCTTTTTGCCCTCCCTTTGATGACTTTGAGAAGGATTTGACACTATCTCTGGATTGCTTTATCTCCTGTGGGGGATCTTGGTATCCTAAATGGGGAGACTTTTGCAAAAGGCCACGGCATCCTGTCTTTCAGGGACCTTTCCTTTTATCACCCCCCCCCCCCCTTTTTGCCTCTGTCAAAATGTGGTGCTGTTTCTCAGTGTTGTAGTCAGGAATTGCTGACAGTCATGCTGCGTGGCCGCCGGGTGGCGCCGTCTGACCAGGTTAGGTGTGTGAGGCGGCTGGAAAGCGGAAAGCTGGAGGATGGGAGGAGGGCCTCTGTGGTCCAGCGCAGGCAAGGACTGGTCGAAGGTCTGGAGTTGGAGGCAGCGAGGCGGGTGGGCGTGGTATCAGATGAACCGAGGGAGGGCTGGGAGCCAGTGAGTCAGGAACAGAAAGAGTGGTGGCTGGAAGAGGACAGTCAGGAGTGGGAGGAGGAGGGCTGGCCGATGGAACTGTGGTAGCTGATGAAGGATAAATCTGCCCCAGTGGTATCCTCAGGAAAGATGGGTTTTTGTGAGTCAGTCTGTTCAGGCAAGAACCAGTTTGGTTTTAACTCTGTAATCACCAGAAAACCCCCTTAAAAAAGTTCTTTCAGATACATTTCAGAATTGTGAGCTTTGACTCATTTGATCTCACTCTGGTTCCCCACATGTGGGTGGTGGTCCCTTATGCAGAGATGCAGGAGGCTCACAAAGGCGGGTGCCCCCTTGATAGAGGACCAGTCAGACACTTGCCTGCTGCTCCCCTCTGGGGACGGAGGTGTGTCTTAGCAGTAGGGGCACCTGTGTTCCTAGGCCAGTCCAGGTCAGTGACGTCCTTTACAGAAGTGTGAGTCGCCTTTGAGCCGTTTGACAGACCTACAGAACTGCAGGACAAAGCCCACTCAGCTTCCACAGCTGAAGCTGTGAGGCCATACAAACACCTGCAGCAGCTGGACTCCCCAAGGGTGTTGTACATTCACTCACACATTCATTCAGGGGTTAAAACATTCCATCCCCACCTAGAAAACAGGAGGTGATCAAGCTCCTCTTCTGTCCTTGACTTGGGATGGAAAACAGAAAAACCCAGGTGGCCTTGTGGTGATTCAGAGTCCCAGTGGTTTCCTTTTGTTCCTGTTTAGGGCTAATGAGGGAGGGGAATGTGTCCCAGCCCACATCTGCAGACTGTGGAGGGGACCTCAGAAGTCAGCCAGAGGGGAATGCCTCCCGTCTGAGTGCTGGCGGAACACAGCGTGGGGGAGATCCACCTCCATGACCCATGGCAAGCACCATGCAGGGCTGTAGATGTCTTTTCTTGTTTCCCAGTCAGTGTACCAGAAACCATTGTGGGAAAAATTGAGTCAACAGCAGCTAGGAGCTCAGGAGAAGAAAAGAAATTTTATTGACGATGGCAGACGCCAGAGGAGTAATCTCCAAAGTCTGAGGTGCTGATCACGGCGAGCTTGTCTTTTTTATAGGGTGGCAAACAGAAGTTATAGGAATGAGATAAGCTTTAGCTAAAGGCTGTGGTACAATGAATATCTTGTGGTGAGCATAGGTGTGTGTAGCAAAGTTGTGTTTAGCACATTCACAGAAATTTCAGATGATGACAAACCACATGATTTAGCTGACTTGAGTGGCAGAGAACAGAATGCCTGCCACTTAACTGGACAAAATGGCTGCAGTTAGTCAGAATTCCTACTTCAGTCTCACTATGGACTTTAATCATGTCTGTCATCTATAGTATGCACTGACCTCAGTGCTTAGATTAGTGTTGGATTTAGTAACTGCAGGAATCAGCCTAGTGAAGGTAGCTCGCCAGAAGGAGCCCCGCAGTCAGTGTGTTTGGGAGTCTGCGGCACAGCGAGCCCTCTTGCTGTGGCTCATTTGATTACTGTCCCGTGTATACCTCCTTCCTGTGAAGGTCTCCTTCCTTAGGACTGTTTGCTGGGTGGACTGCGGGTGTGATGAAGGAAAGCTGTGACGAAGGAAGGCTGTTCTCTCGCAGAGTAGAGTCATTTTGTAATTTTAGTGGAACTGTGACCCTGAGAATCAGTCATGAGCACCATCTCCCACCCCTCGCTGGGAGAAATTCAGAGCAAGAATGGGATTCACTGCTGTGGTACGCTAGGGAAGGTCGTGTGTCAGTTTGTGTAAATGCTGTGTCCCAGAACAGGTAGAAAGATCATCGTCATCTGCATCCCCTGGAGCCAGTCTTTGTGCTAAAACAGCACCTCTCTCCTCCCACTAGGGGCCGGATTCTAGCAGTGTCAGGAGACTCCTCCCATCCCACATCCTCCTGCTCCCCCTGGACTTTTCTGTTTGGTATCTTTAACCTTTTGCTCTTCAGTGGCATCCTCACACTTAATCATTTCTGTAGTTAAAAGAACAAACTCTTCTGTAACCGCTGGCTTCCCTGGTGCCTGCCCTTCGTGTCTCTTCACAGCTGGTCACAGTTGCGTCTCCCGTATCTCCGCAGCCTACTGTCAGCCTTTTCCCCTCTTCCTGCCTTGGAATCTGCTTTTCCATGGTCACAGAGACCCCCTCCTTCGGGTTTAGTCCCATGAGTACATTTTTAGATTTTTGCACTTTTCCCCCCGTTTGCAGCGTTTGACTTTATTGTCCACTTGCATTTCCTTTTTTGGTTTCCCCTTTCCCTTTGGTGACTCCTTTGAGACTCTTTGCAGCCAGCTGTCTTCTTTCTGGCTTTTAGAAGCTCTTGCTTTCCAGAGCTCCATCTTTGGCTCTTCTCATGTCTGTCTTTACATGTTTTCTGAGTTTTCTTCTCCATGGTTAGGTGTTCTGCTACTCTTCCTAATTTAGTGACTCGCCTTGATCCATATCTCTAGCCTACATTTTTCTCTCTGTTTTGCTGTCTACTAGACATCTCCCCCTGATCTCCACAGGCGCTTTACACTCACCACCTTCCCTGGATCTGAGGCTTGTCTGTGTCCCTGACCTGGTAGACCGCATCACTCTCTGTTTAGCTGCTGAGTCAGAGGCGCTCTTCCTACTCCCTCAATCCACATATTCAATAAGCAGTCCATGCTGCCGATTCCTCCCCCTGATATCTCTAACTCCTTCCATTGCCACTTCCGTGGTTGAAGCCAGTAACATCTCTCCCTCAGAATCAGCATGATGCTGATGTGGATGGCCCACCCGAGGACTGTTAACAGCATAGAAAGGAGACCTGGAGAGGAAGAGTAGCATTGTGGGTTGTTTGGAGCTATTGGTTCTGCTGGAGGAGCTTGTCACGCTGGCTTCCCTGATATGAATTCGCCTGTTATCATTGTTGCTGAGAATGGCTGTGGTTTACTTTGAGGGAGTTTTGGTCCTGAGCTTTCTGGCTCCAGAGGGGAAGATCTGTGCAGTTCAGTCTCCAGGAGGAGTTTGTCACGCTGACTTCCTGATACGCACTCAGTTGTTCTCACTGTCGGAGGAGCTTGCTGAGGATGGCTGTGGTACTTTTTGGGGCAGCCTGTCCTTATTTTAAGTGTCACTTTTTGGCTCCAGTATAGAACACTTGGCCTGCTGGCACAGATCCTTCACCCTGCTAGCATAGACTTTCTGTCTTTCACTGCTGACCTTTGGGCTTTCCTAGTGCAGATCTGTGGGATAGACTTGTACGGGTAATTGTCGCGGGCTCTAGCTTTTCAGCTGAACTTACCATGGGATTGCCATGGGATCCAACCCACAGCTGGATTGTCTAGGTCTTTAGTGTTGTGGACAGATTTCTTGCATTTGCTTTGTATTTGACTCCTTGGGTGACCATTATAGATAACACTATAAATTATATGTCCAGTATGTAATTGTTCTGCTTGCAACCTCTGACGACAAACTCGCCTTAGCTCCTCTTACAGTTTCTTAATTTTTTCCTGACTTTAGTTTTACACCTTCTACTTTCTTTTGTACAGTGTAATGATTTTTCTTTTCTTTTTTAACTAAAAGGCAGTCACTTTTTTGCATGAAAATGTTCAAGCCACTGCCTTGAGGGTGGAGTTCAGACTTGTCAGCATATTTTAAAAGGTGCTACGCTAGTTTCATGTCTTTTGAAACATCCCTCTCAGACCCTTCTCTGCTCTCCAAACTTACTTCCAAATTTTATTTGTACTTCTAAGAACACAGTATCTGTTTTTGAGTCTTTATATAGATAATTTCATGGCTTGACCAGCTCTCCCTAACCCACTACTGTCATACCACCCCAGTGGTGGTCACGCAGTGTTGCTATTACTGGTCTGCCTTGGTACCAGTCATGGGAAAGAGTCCAACTGGGTAAACAGTGATACCCTTGAGATTTCATTTCCAAGCCATGTGTCACACAGCAAGAATCTTCATACAAAATCAAAAGACTGATTTGGTGAACCAAATGGAGTTGGGTGAATGATAGCTTGGGTCTCATTACTAAATTAGGGAGTAGGGCAAGTTGTTGCTTGGGCATTATTGATAAGTTATTATTTCAAAGGATGGGTTCTGTTTGCTTACGATTTTGATGGTTGTTTTGAGGTTATAATTTTATAAATATTTATTTCATAATAGCTTTCATGGTCCTCTCTCTGGGTAAATAAAGAGTTTAGGTTCCATCAAGGCTATCATTAATATTTAGGGCATTGTAAACATTTCTTGAAGAAGGTCAAACAGGCTTCATTTTTTAAAAATACAAACATTAGTACATGTTTGCGGTATAGAATAAGTACATTTATTGTGCATAGTTGGTACATGTACATGTAATTCTTTCACACCCTGTCCCCCTGCATCTCTTGATCACCTTCTCATTTGCAAAAGCTCCATCTCCATGTTTTCTATTGTCTCTCCAATTAGACTTAACATTTTTTTTTGGTACTGAGAATTGAACTCAGGGTCTTGTGCTTTCCAGGCAGGTACTGTGCTGCTGAGTTATATCCCTGGTCCTTCCATTTAGTTTTGAAATCTTTAATTGAGGTGAATAAGGAATTAAAAACATCTGTTTGTTTATTAGCTTCAATCTGAACATCTGCTGATCAGCTCACTAACTATAAATAATAAACTTTCCCACTTGGCACGCTGAATTCTAAAGCAGATAACGTAACATATATTTAGTTTACTTCTATAATTTCTGGGAACAGAATTTAAAAAATATTCTTTAATATAAGGTTCATTACATATGTTTGATGAATTGAGACATTTTTATCCTGGAAGTTACATGAAAAAAAAAAAAAGATAGATGGGAAGAAACATAAATTATAGGGTTCAAGATTTTAGGTACTATTTTATAAATCTTTTGTGTTATGGCTATTTTCAGAAAGAATTTCTTATCTTATTAATTATATTATCCAAGGACATCCTTGAGTTACTTAAAAAATCTTGTCATTATTTTATGAATAGTTTATTTCAAATGTTTCCAGATTTTATTTAGGATAGTAATTGTCAGTGTTGTTTTCCACAATAATTATAATCAGCTTAGTACTTTAAAAACTAAATCTGCTTTTCATTTAGACCCAAATTAAAAATACTTGCATCTGAAAATACTTCAAGTTATTATTTTAAAGTTTCCTATATTACCACATGATGCATCACGTATAAAATTCAATATTCTGACGCTCTTGGCTTTTTAAGAGTCTTTTAACAAGATATAGCAATATTGGGCTTCAAGGATTCTGTTGAATGGGAGATTTTGATGCTAAAATTTCTAACCAGGGTTTTAGTTAACTTTATTGTTTATATTTGGGAGGGGGCGCATTTGATGGCGGATCTTTTTCCTTCTTCATTTGGCATATGTTATATTTGCTTTTGAGTTGAGTTGACCCAGATGAGAGACTATTTCTGTGTTCAATTAAAGTATTCAAAACTGGGCGTAGCGTCACTGCGAGTCTGAGGACAGCCTGGGCTACACAGCGAGACTCTGTGTCAAAAAAAAGTATTCAAGAAACAGCAGTTTCAAATTTCATTTTACAGAATACAAAATTGACTTCTATCTTTCACAATACCAAGGAGGCAGAGGAAACCTAGGAAACACATTTTATAAATACTCTTTGGCAGTAAAATGATCTACCAAGGATTGCCTTTCATTCTCATCACAGGAAGGCGTAATATTAAGGCACAGATTGCCAAAGTAGCAGAGAATGAGACTTGACTCAAGCAGATAAATTTGATGCTGTGAATTTTAAAAAAAAAATGACTGTTACATTTTCTTACAAAAACTCCCAATTTTTTGGGAGCCATGAGTACCTTGGGTGCTCCAGAATCTGTGGTCTAATAAACTCTGGAACTTGCAGTGTGCAGCATAGTGATTACAGTTTCAAATAACCGTAAAAACCTTCAAAAGTTGCCAAGTCTCACAGGCCTGCAGTGATAGGCTAATCCAGAGTTCTAGGAGTGGCAGATTTTCCAAATGTTTTAAAAATTCTTTAGATAGGATGCTTCACTTCTAGTTTATTTTGTTGAGTCTTTTAAGTGGTCACCACCTGGGTAGAGTGTGTATATTCTAATTAAAAGTCTTCCCACTTTGGAAACCGAGTTTCAAGGGTTACCATTTATTAAAAACCTTTGCTACTGTGCTTAGTTTTTAGAATTTTTTAGCAGGACTATGCTTTTATCTCAGATTGCTAGTGTATGTTATGGAAGGCAGTATTTTTATTGTGTTGCTCTGATAATATCAAGTTTTATATGAAAACAAAACTTAAAAAGCCCCAAATTGTTCATTGTTTTTCAGGTATACATATGGGAAGCCAGTCAAAGGAGATGTAACACTTACATTTTTACCTTTATCATTTTGGGGAGAGAAGAAAAACATTACAAAAACATTTAAGGTAAATTTGCAGATATTTTAGAACTTGCAATGGGAAAAAAATTAAGTATTTTTTTCTAGGAATAAGATTTTGTACTCAGTTGACAAAAAATTGAATGGAAGAAAATCAAGAGCTTTGTGGAATTGGACAAGTTAGAGTTTACCCACTTACAGTGATTAAAATGGAGTCGGAGGTGTCATATTACTATTTCTAGAATCTGAATTGTTGATTTAAAAAATTAAATTGAACTTTTAAACCAAACAGATAAATGGATCTGCAAACTTCTCTTTTAATGATGAAGAAATGAAAAAGGTAATGGATTTTGCAGATGGGCATTCCAAGCACGTGGATCTGTCCACCCCGGGACCAGTGGAAATTCTAGCCACAGTGACAGAATCACTTACAGGTTTGTAGACTTTGAAGTGAAAGGTAAAGCTGTTTATGTGCTGTGTTCTCTCATCTCTTCTACTATAGCTAGCACTTTTTTTTGGTACCAGGGATCAAACTCACGACTGCACGCTTGCAAGGTAGATGCTTATGCCACTGGGCTAAATCCCCAGCCACACTAGCACTTTGCATTTGGGGGCATTCATTGTCTTTCTAACGATTCTATTTAATATTGAAATTGTTATAAATATTAATTTATGTAATTTGCAGGATGTTTTTATAAAAAAAGTGAAACTGATTTTCTATGAAAGTCTATACTTTAATCACATGTGGTATCTATTTGCAGTGTCTTTCTTTCTTTCTATTTCTACTCTTTCTCATTGCAAAACCACACAGAAAGGCCTAGATTTTCAGCTGGCTGTCTTTTTTTTTTCTTACAAAATCATTTAATGTAGTCTGAAGTCTCACCTGCTCCCGAGAGTTCTTCCTTCCCCCTTTTTTCAGTACTGAGGATTGAATTAAGAGAGAACTGAACTATGTCTCTATACCCTTTTATTTTTGGCCTGGGTTTTGTTAAGTTGTTCAGTCTGACCTCAAACTTGGAATCTGCCTACCTCAGCCTGTTAAGTAGCGATATGTGTGCCATTGTGTATGGCTAGTTTTCTCTTTTAATATGAAAACAGAAGTTAATTTTTGGACTTTACTATAACTGTGTCAGCAGTTTTAACCAATTACTGAAAGAGCAAAAGAATATTCCACTAGTTGTTCCGCTCTACTGGTGCAAGTGTCTCTGAGGGAAGATGGCAGTGATGGTGCTTTGCAGGAGTTGTAGGAAACTCAGTGGAAACATGTGCTTCTCTAAGTGGCAAAGCCGTCATGGAAATGAGGCTTATGTGCCCCGAGGTTTTAAACCCTTCTGGCTTGAAGACATTTGGTGGCTAGAAGTAGGTTGGAGAGATTTGGTGGGTGGAAGGTGCTCGTGAAATATTACTTTTGTATTCTAAACTATGCAATTCACCAAATAGGTATCTCAAGAAATGCAAGCTCCAATGTCTTTTTCAAGCAACATGATTATATCATTGAATTTTTTGATTATGCCACTGTCTTGAAGCCATCTCTCAACTTCACAGCCACTGTAAGTTATTATATTTAATGCCAATCTGTATTTCCACCTTTATGTTAATAAGACAAAATGGAAAATAGTATTTTCAGTGCTTTTATAAAAATTTTAGGCCAAAAAGTAAATAGATTACCTTTTGTCTTTAGGAATGTGAAGTATAGAGGATTGTTTCCAAATGACCTTTGTTTAATGTTTTCTACAAACATTATTATTATTATTATTATTATTATTTTTTTTTTTTTTGGTACTGGGGATCAAACTCATGACCTTGTGCTTGCCAGGCAGGTGCTTACACGCTGAGCTAAATCCCCAGCCTTAAACATTGTTCTTAATAATAACAAAAATATTTTACTGGACATTTATTTAAAAAGCAGTTCATTAGATGGTATGCTGAAGCTTTGGTTAATTGGAGGAGTTAGATGGTGGTCAAAACTTCTAATTAAAACTTGACTTTTAAAATGGCTAACCTTAGACTTAACAAATATGTAAGATTAAAAATTATCAACAAATCTACTTTTTCCCCTCAAGAATGTTGGATTCACGTTTAGTCTTGACCGAACTTTGTCAATGTGGAGGGCCTAGGCTTATGGACTCAGAAGAACTGAGTGTCGACCTAAGAGTTATAGCTTTGGTGGTGATGATAAGAAAATATTTACAAAAGTATAATTGTCATAAACTCATTTTTATAGGTATTTAAACAGGATTTTTTTTTTCAAAGGAGTAGACAGTAAACATTTTCAACTTTATGGACCATATTCTGTTGCCGTGACTCAGCTTTGTCATGGTAGCGTGTAAGTAGTTGTAGACAAATGAGAATGGTTGTGTTCCAGTAAAAATTTTATTCACAAAACTGTTGATTTGGCATGCTTGCTTGCTGTAGCTGATCCTTGCTATAAATAAAGAAGGGATCAGTTCTTGCTGAATGTGAGAAATTTTAAGTGGTTCCTGATTTCAGTGAATTTCAATGATCTTGATTTACACAGGCTATAAAGAGTCATTTCCAAATGAGTAGAGTCAAACAGTGGGAGTTTGAGAAGAGAGAGTTGGTTGTGGGGCATGGAGGGGATTATTACAGAAGAGGAAGCTCTGAAGTATTTGTTAGAAGATTAGTAGGGTTTAAGTGTTTGGGCATGGGGTTGGGAAGTGGAGAGCAAAGTGAGCTAGGATAGGAAGAGAGTGCGTGGGTTGGCAAGCTCAGGGTGTGCTAAGATGACAGTAACCAGACAGTTATTGCTGCAACTGAGGGCTGTTGCAGGGGAGTGAGGCGTGGCACATCTGGAGGTGAAGCTTGGAGAGGTATAGAGGACCCGAAGTGCCTCAGAGATGGGTTTGAACTTTATGCTCGGTACAGTGAGAAGCACGGAAGCCTAATGAACGTGGGAAGAATGTGCTGTTTGGGGAAGGCTGATTGGGGTAACTGTAGCGGGGAGGGTGGCTGGGACCTGAGCTATGGGCATTTTCAAGTCAACGTTGTGTGAATGGAGAGGAGGGAATGAGAAATATGGGGAATGTAGGAGAAGGGAGGGAAAATTCGGTCGAGCGGGGCAGGTGAACTGAGACTGGTAGACCTGGAATGGCAGATGATTGCTTAGTGTTAGGTGTGCAGAATTTGAGGGGACTGGGTGTCCACGGAGACATTTCCTGCACAGTTGGAGGCTTTGGGTCTGAACTCCAGGGTGAGGTGAGGATGGAGATTTTGGATCTGGGGTACAGTCACAGAGAGATGAGATAAGCCATGGGAATGAGAAGAGAGAAATGGAAAAGAGAACATGGATAACTGACTAGTTGACCTTGACAGTTTCCTACATTTAAAGAGAGTGAAAAAGAATCGAAAAGGACACTGAGCAGGTGCAGGAGGGAGATGCAAGTATCGGATGTTGTTTTGGGCTATGGGAATCAGGAAGCCATGCTGTTTAGAAGGCAGTGATCCTGGTTCTGGTGCTGCCTGGAGAAAAGCACTGAAGGCCGAAATTAGAACGTTGCCAATTATTGTTGAGAGTTCAGATTCATGGGAATAGTACAGATGGAATCTAGATTCAGTTGAGCTTCAGTCCATTACTTGTTACTTGTTTTTAAAATATTCTGTTTTGACGATTAGGTGAAGGTAACCCGTTCTGATGGCAGTCGATTGACTCAAGAAGAAAGAAGGAATCAGGTAGCCATAGCAGTGACCCAGAGAAACAGGACCAATCTCTGGAGCAGGTGGAACCATGAAAATGAGGGAATGGAAGATGCCCACATCACAAATTACACTGTTCCCCCGGATGGAATCTTTAAGATTGAGTTCCCAGTCCTGGACAGCTCCAGCCAGCTCCAAGTGAAGGTGCCACCTGTTACTCACGTTGCATTCCAGCCCCGCCACCCTTGCAGTTGTAGTCTTGCACTAGGCATTCAGCCTGTTAGAGCTCAGTGTTTAGGAAGTGGAGATGTGTTTTTATTTTAGAAGAGCACAGTAAAATATAGTGATGTGAAGGAACAGTGGAGAGGCTCTTGAAACTCTTACCTAGGTTGATTTTTCAGTCATTTGCAGTTCTGTTCTGACTGGAACTGAAGTGCAGGAGGAATGTGTGTTTTTTACACGTACACTCTGTTCTGAGCTGCCTGTTCTAGAGTGGTTCGTATCCTTTCATGCTTCCTAGCTTTTGGACATTTAGCCCCACCTGTGAGGCCTGGCTGAGCACCCTGTTTACAGGGTAGCCGCTGGCTTTTTTGTTTTGAACCCACTGCCTTTAACATGCTAAGCAAGTACTCTAACTTTTAGTACAGCCCTAACCTTTTTACTTAATTTTTTCCATTGTTTTATTTTGAGACAGGGTTTAACTGTGCTGCTCAGCTGTCCAGGCAGGCTGCGTTGAACTTGTGATTCTCCTGCTCTGCCTCTTGAGTAGCTTGAGTAGCTTGTACACCTGTGTCCAACTTGGTTTTCACACTGAGTCTTGGTGGATCCGGCAGAGGGGGTTTGATTTCTCACTTTTATCTGAGCAGCATATTATGGAGAGAAGGAAAGCATTGCTTTTTCATGTATTCTCTTTGCTTGAAGTGTTACTTGATAAAATGCCTTTGTTTCTGAAGTAATTTGGGGCAGTTCTTTTTTCCTATAGGTTATGATGGTGAAGACCTTTTTGCATGATTTTAAGCTACTCGATTTCTTATGATATAAGGTATACAATGATGATGAATCAATATTGGGCAAATGGAAAAATAGGAAAAAAGAGTGAATTTGGCTTTTAGTAACTGTTTCTCAGATTACTGAAAGCTTTTCTCAAGATTGAAGCTGAAAATTTATAGTTCTCTTTTCTTTGTAGGCTTACTTTCTTGATAGTGAAAGTAACATGGAAGTTCATGGCACGTTTACATCCCCTAGTAAGACATACATCCAGCTAAAGACAAGAGATGAAAATATAAAGGTAATGCTTCCCGCTCACTTGATAACTGCAGTGTAATTGGACTCTCTTGCCATTGATATGTACATATTAATTAAGATTTGTTGCTTTTTTTAGGTTGGAACACTGTTTGAGTTGGTGGTTAGTGGCAACAAACAAGTGAAGGAATTTAGCTATATGGTAATTTCTTCTAGAATTTAAATTTACAATCTATTACAGAATTATTTTAAATGATGTTTAACTTATGTCTGAGTTAAAGTTACTTTTTGATATTAGCCTGTCCTTTTTATATTGCAATCAAAATATCTTTTTTCTTCACTTGTGTTTGCATTTCCAATTAAAAATAGGTAATTACATTTTGTATTGTGTTTACAATTTGAATTTCTATTAAATAAGCAACATTCAGACATTGTGTGGAAAATCAGAAAATATGAAGAGAAAATAAAAATTGCCACCATGACCTTGTAATTTCTTTAAAATCCCACTATCCCTGTAGAGTCTTACATTCTTCTCTAATGTAGATCCGTTCTCAGCACAAAAAAGTAATAAATATTTGAAGGGATATGATGGTTAGATCTAAAATGTCTAAAATGTCCCTCCAAAATCTCTCACTTTGGGAGGTGGGGGCTGGTCAGAGGGGGTCACGGGTTGGGGGTGTGACCTGGCGGAGTGTATGCTTGTCCTTAGTTCTGTCACTGTGCTTCTTGGCTGCCATAGTTTGGCAGCTTTGCTGCACTCTGCCTTCCCCCTGACTGCTTCTGTTTTAAAGCCAGCCAACCATTGACTGAATATGAGCCAGAATAACTCTTTCCGTCTTTTTTCTTTCTTTTGTCTGTTAGAGGCAGGGTTTCGCCGTACAGTTCATGCTGACGCTGACTTTACTCTGTAGCCCAGGCTGGCCTTGAACTTGTTTCAGTCCTCTTGCCTCAGCCTCCCGAGTGCCAGGATTAGAGGCGTGCGCTCCCCCACCTGGCACTGTCTTCTCTTTTAAGTTGTGTTTAGTATTTTGTCCAGGCAAAGAGAAAGTGACCAATCAGTGATGGGCATGCCAGTACCTTAATATGATCATTTTAAGTTGTATACATATATTGGAATACAACATTTAGCTCCTAATATACACTAATATTATGTGTCCATTAAAAACTAAAAGTGCAAAAAAGAATTTAAAATTGAGAATTGAAAGCAATATTGATTTGTGACTATGAAGCTACTGTTACTGCAGTCAGTACTACTTTATCCTGACCATTTTTTACTTCCCAGTTTATACTCTTTGTTTGTCAACGTGGTGTTCTTATATTCAAGACGGCTTTGAAGCTGGTTTAAGGCAAGAGTTTGGGTATAAACATAAAAGTATGAAAAATGTGTAGATGGAGAGGGACATAAAAAGAATTAAGATGTGTTATGTACACCTGTCAGCTATCTGCAATGCATGGGTCATTAGGTACTGCAAATATATACTAAGAAAAATGTATAATAAATGTGACTTTAGTGAGTATCTTATTAGCTTTACACAAAAATTAAACTCATCTGCTTTTTCTTTTCAGGTGGTATCCAGGGGTCAATTGGTGGCTGTAGGCAAACAAAGTTCAACAACTTTCTCTTTAACACCAGAAAATTCTTGGGCTCCAAAGGCCTGTATAATTGTGTATTATGTGGAAAATGATGGAGAAATTATAAATGATGTTCTAAAAATTCCTGTTCAGCTTGTTTTTAAAAATGAGGTAAGATTCAAAGTAGTAATATTTAAAAGAAAGTAGTGAATTCTGAGAAATGTAGTATTGTGTTGCAAAAGTGTCATTAAGCCAAATTGTTTGAAAATTTCTTACATTCCCTTCTAGAACTACAGACGAAGGATGAAACTCCTCATATTTGTGTTTTCACTTGCAGAATTAGTGGAGCCTAGGGGTCTCAACTAGAAGATGCGGTTCTTGGCATTAAGATTTAACTCAAAGCCATGAAACCTTCTCAGGATTTTTCACAGAGTCAGTCAGTATTGGTTTGGTGTGGAATTCAGAGCCAAGCTGGGACTTGTGTGGTGTGTACACTGCCTGAGAGCCCCGAGCAGAAGGGCATGGGAAGGAGGGAGCGGTCTGGGAGGATGTGAGGGAGCAGGGCTGGCAAGTGTCTGCTTCATCTGCTGGAAGCTGGCTGGTCAGGTTTCGGTAAGCGTGGACACCTCGTGTGTGAGGAGCGGTTTGGAGCCCGGTCTCCAAACACACAGTGCTTCTTATAGGCTAAGTAACCAGCCTATGAGAGAATGTTACTGCATTGTCTGTCGTACACCAGGAGCCACTGCATTCGTTAAAAATTGTGACCTTTCAGGTCCTTCCTAGGTAAAAGAGTCACTGTTGTAAAACAGTGGTTTGTAGAGTGTAGTTCTTCTAGTATTCGTTTTCAAACTAAATTACCAGTTTGTTCTGATGTGATGTCTCATCAGTTATCCATGCTTTCTTTTAAGAATTTGAAGCCTAATTTTTTTTGAAGTGCTGGAGACCCTTGCATGAGCTCTGCCACTGAGCGGTGTCCCCACTCTTTGTTAACCCTAACTGTTTCAAAACATGATACTACAAGCTGCTATTTTTTGTTTTATGAAAAGGTTTATTATTTCAAAACTTTTTGGAGGAGTTTCAGGGCATAATTTTTGACTTGTAGTGATTATAAAATCACCAGTAAAGGTGAACTTTAAAGAAGGAGTCGTGGAGGCTTCAGCAAGGAGACGTATCTGAAACTGAGACCAGGCTGTTGGGAGGAACAGTGCACAAGATCAGCGACATTAACAAAACAGAGGGCATTAGAAGCATCTTTCAAGAAATGTCTTAGGTATATGGCTTAGGTCCTCATTTTAATTGTTTGTGAAGATGTATCTTTCTCTATTTTTTGTATACCCATTACCACATTTACAAAGACACTGTATACATGGAAATGAAATGTGTTTAAGCAGGAGAACATTAGTGTATCTTTATCGATGTCCAATAATGATTCCTGAATAAATGAATGAGACATAGAAGGGATGACAGCTGTAGGTTTAGAAACCATTCACACACAGGTGTGAGGTGAAGCCCAGGATGCAGAGACTGTGAGAACTGTGTGGTCTAAGGCTGCGTCTCCCACATGCTGCTATATGTCCTGCTCCCCCACTGGCTATGGAGAGTAGAGGTGAAAGCCGACTAGATAGAGGGGCTTGGGAGGTGTGTGAGAGAAAAAGTAGATGAAATAACATAAGCAGGAGAGGCAGGCTTTACTGAACACTGTGCAATAGAGTCCTCTGAAACAAAAGGAAGGAGAGCTTTAAAGCACGAGCCAAGGTCATACACAAGCACTGCAGAGGGTGCCAGGGAAGCAGGTCACTGTGCTGGGCCTTCTATGCCTGCCCACTGCACAGGCTTCCATTTTCCACAGGGGCTGGAAAACACCCGGACTCCTTTCTAGGTGATGGCACATCCAACGCATGGCTCCTGGGTCCTTGAGCGACACACTTCTGGGTTGTAGAGCTGGCAGGCAAGAGGCTGGGAGAAGACTGAAATCTGAGTGGAGCCGAGAAAGACTTTGCAGTTAGAAGGTTCCTAAAGCAAATCCTCTGAAAACAGGGAGATTGGGGCTAGGAAGGAGAAGCTGTTTAAAGTGTGGCCAGGCTGAGGGCTCGTTCCATCCACCTTGGTCAGGCAGTGCAGTCTTGGGGGGGGGGCAGTGTTAAGATGGGGCTGGAGGAAATGAGAGGCCCCAGCAGGAAGGGTCCAAGGTAAGCCTTTGGTTCAGCGGTGGTGTTGAGTACTGGTCTGTGTGAGGTACTGTTGGGGCCGTGCTTGGATGAGTGTGGGGATGGAGGAGCCCTGGAGACTCGAGTGCAGAATGGGGTCCACTCCTTCCTGAAGACACCCCTAAACTCCCCACAGCCCAGCTCATCTCATGAGCCTTGCAGACCCTGCCACCTTCATTCCTCAGCCAAAGTCAGCATGGAGGCTCTGTGCTGCCTTTACCCAGGCGCATGGGACCCAGCTGTCTGCTGGCCTGTGCTGGCTGGGCTGGCGGGAGGAGGGAGAAAGGGAAGAACACAGCCAGAAGTGAAGGATGCTTCAGGTTGATACCACCCGATGGAGGCAGTCCAGGACTTGCAGATGCTGGGGAGTGCAGTTATTCCTGTCCTTGAGAGGCTGTGAGTGGTTTTAGAGTTATCCCCTGGGCCACGGCAAATGGATACTCTTTCTTAGATTTTGAGTTACTGATCTGCTATTGGTAAGAAATATAAATAATGCTTTTAAAGCACAAAATCAGCTAATTGTACTTTGTCCCTTTGTTAGGTAAAGCTGTTTTGGAGTAAACCTAATGCAGAGCCTTCGGAGAAAGTCTCGCTGAGGGTCGCTGTGACACAGCCTGACTCTGTCGTCGGGATTGCAGCTGTTGACAAAAGTGTAAGCCTGATGAATGCCTCAAACGATATCACAATGGGAAACGTGAGTGTGGTTTTCTTAATTACAAAGAAAGATGTTAGATGAGGAAAGCAGTTGCATTAGTTCAAGTATATAAAGAAATTTCATTAGTTTCTGTGCATTTATAAGCCAGTGATCAGAAAAGCCTCCAAATGAAAAAGACTCTGTGCAGGTGTTATGTTGGAAAGAAGCTTGTGTGGTTCGGCTGTGTCTTTTCTGTCTTACAGGAGAAAAACCACCTTGGGGTAGACAGCAAGACTGATCTCTGCAGGACAATTTTACACCTCTGAGTTATAGTTAATAATAGTGTAGTATATCATTAAAATTGCTAAAAGGGTAGTGTATGTACGTTCTGACACAAAGAAGGTAAACACGTGAGATAAATTCATTAGCTTGACTTAATCACTTTTTAAAATTTAAGTTTATTGGTACATTTTAGATATACATAATGATCACACTCATCATTGGGAATTTATTCCTGTACACGATATATCTTGATTCCTCTTTTTATTCCATTCAACTCCTCTCCCTTCAGCACCTCTTGTTATTCTTATTTGCAAAAACTTTGTTTCCATTTTAGCCTTCTTTTCTCACTTTTTCTTTTCCTCCTCCCCCTCCCTGATTCTCTCCTTTTGAACATTTTCTTACTATTTCACCATATCCATTATACATTTTAGTCTTTTTTTACACTTTTAGTTTCTCACATTAGAGAGATAATACGATAATTACATCTGTGAATATTTCACTTAAGAGTAAGCTCTCAAGGTGCATCCATTTAACAATAAATGTCCCAATTTTATCTGTATTCATGGCTGAGTAGTGCTCCATATCCATTCATTAGTTGATAGACATTTGGGCTGTTTCCAATATGTAGCTGTTACAAACTGTGCTGCTATAAACATAGGTGTGCGTATATCCTTATAGTAGGATGCTTTCAATGCTTTCTGGAAGATAGCAAGAAGGAGAATACATGGGTCTAATTCTAGTTTTCTGAGGAATCTACGCACTGATTCCCACAGTGGTTGCACTGGTCTACACTCCCACCAGCAGTGGAGAAGGGTTCCTTTTTCCCCACAGCCCCTCCAGCTTTTGTTATTGATTATTTCTTGATAATAAAGTCATGAGATGGAATCTTAGCATTATTTTAGTTTGCATCTCTCAACCACCTGATTTTTTTTTTTTTTTGTCTTTTTCATTTTTATCGGTACCGGGGATCGAACTCATGACTGCCTGCTTCCAAGGCAGGCGCTTATGCCGCTGAGCTAAACCTCCAGCCCCCACCACCTGATTTTTGACAGAGTGGCCAAACATGTACACTGGAAGAAAGGCAGCCTTTTTAATAAATGATGCTAGGAAAACTTGCTTCCACACGCCGAAGACTATACTAGACTCATGTCTCTCACTGTACACTAACCTAAAATCAGAATGAATCCAAGATCTGAATATCAAAACAGAGACACTAAATCTGCTGGAAGAGAGAACAGGTAAAACTGTGAAAGACACAGATGTAGGGAATGATTTCATGAACAAAATCACAGTTACACAAGAAGTATTATCAAGATTCAACAACTGGGATCTCATCTTTTATAATTTTTAATTTTTTAATTTTAGAGAAAAAATAGAAATTTTGAAACAAGATGATAGGAAGGTAACAATGGTTAATACATGGTGTATTGTTGCATTTAGTATCTCAAAGTATAAGATATTGTCCAAACAATATCAGCCCAAACCTTGCTTTTCAGTGAACTATGTGTGTATATTATTTTTGTTTTTGTTGTTGCTTTTCCCTTCCTTCTTTTCTCCTTTCCCCCATCCCAGTTTCTCTTTCCTTTTGAGCAGTTTCTTCTCATCTCACATTATCTGTTGTACATTTTGGATCTTACTCTTTCAGTTTTTCACACTAGGGAGACTGTACAGTGCATGCACATGTATATCTGGCATGTTTCATTTATGAGTATGGCTTTGATTGCATCCATTTGCCTATAAAAGTCTCCAGTTTATCCATTTTTATAGCTGAGTAGTACTCCATTGTATAAAAAATACCACATCTTTTTTATCTATTCTTCAGTTGATGGGCATTTGGGATGTTTTCAAGATCTGGCTATGACAAATTGTGCTATTATAAACATAGGTGCACATGTATTATTTTTAATTCTTCTGGGAAGATACCCAAAAGGAAAATAGCTGGGTCAAATGGAACCTCTAATCCTAGCTTTTTGAGGAATCTCTACCTTGATTTTCACAGTGGTAGCACCAGTCTACATTCCCATAAATGGTGGAGGAGAATTCCTTTTCCCCATTTGTTATTGGTTGATTTCTTGATGATAGCCATTCTTTCTGGGATGAGATGCAATCTCAGTGTTTTTTTTTATTGGTACCAGGGATCAAACTCATAACCGCATGCTTGCAAGGCAGGTGCTTATGCTGCTGAGCTGAATCCCCAGCCCTCAATGTTGTTTTAATTTGCTTCTCTTGAATGACCAATGATGTTGAACATTTTTTCATATATTTATTTGACATTTGTATTTCTTCCTCTGAGAAATGTGTTTCATCTCAGGTGCCCATTTTTGGATTGGGTCTTTAAATCGGCGAGCACTGATTTTTTTTTTTTTTTTTGAGTTCTTTGTATGTTCTCGGTAGTAATCTGAGGAGCAGCTGAAAAACATTTTTTCCCACACTGTGGGTTGTGTCTTCACTCTGTTGGTGGTTTGTCTTGCTGTGCAAAAGCTTTTTAATAAGATGAGATCCCAGTTCTTTGTGATAGTTCCTGTGTGACTGGGGTTTTATTCATAGTCTTTTCCTACACCAGTGTTTTCAAGAGTTTTACCTATTCTGTCTTTCAGCAGATTTAATGTTTCTGTTTTAATATTTAGATCTTCGATCCATTTCAAATTTGGTTTAATGCATGATGAAAATTATAGGGCCAATTTTAATCTTCAGCATGTGCAGAGCCATTTTTTCCAGCACTATTTATTGAAGAGGCTATCTCTCTTTCAATGAATGTGTTTGACACCTCTGTCAAAGATAAGTTGGCTTAGTTTGTCTGGAGCTTTTTCTGTATCTTCTAATCTGTTCCATTGATCTTCAGTTCTGTTTTTTTGTGCCAGTACCACACTGTTTTTATCACAGTAGCTGTATAGTGTAATTTCAAGTCAGGGATTTTGATGCCCCTGTCTTGCCTTTGTTGCCTAGGATTCTTTTTGCTATTCTAGGTCTCTTCTGGTTCCAGATGAATTTTAGGATTGTTTTCTCTAACTCTGTGAGATATGCTATTGGAATTCTGATTGGGATTGCATTGAATCTGTATAACAGTTTTGGAAGTATGGCCATTTTTACAATATTGGTTCTTCCTACCCAAGAGCAAGGGATATCTCTCCATTTTCTGATGTCCTCTTCAGTGTCCTTTTACAGAGTACAGAGTACTTTTTTCAGAGTTTTCAATGTAGGGGTCTTTTACATCCTTTGTTAGAGTGATTCCTAGGTATCTTTTTTTTTTTTTTTTTGGGTGCTATTGTGAAAGGTGATGTTTCCCTAATTTCTCTCTGTCAGCTTGTTATTTGTGTACAGGAAGGCTATTGATTTTTGAGTATTGACTTTGTATCCAGCTATGGTATTGAATTTGCTTATTAAATCTATTAGTGTTTTAGTGGAGATTTTGGAGCTTTCTATGTAGGATATCATGGCATCTGCAAATAATGATAATTTCAGTTCTTCCTTTTTTATTGGTATTCCTTTTATTCCTTTCTCTTTTCTAATTGCTCTGGCTAAACTTTCCAGGGACTATGTTACATAAGCGTGGGGACAGTGGACAACTGAGTCTTGTTTCTGATTTTAGAGAGAAAGCACTCCATTTTAGTCATGTAGTGTGGTGTTGGCTGTTGGTTTGTCATAGGTGGCTTTTATCAGATTGGGATCTCATCTTTTAAAAGGCTTCTGCACAGCCAAAGAAGTCACCAACAGAGCATGAAGACAACACACAGTGGGAAAATGTTTTGACCAGGTGTTCCTCTGATGAAGGACTAACACCTAGAACATATAAAGAAATGAAAAACATGGGTCCCTAAATTTAAAGACCCAATCCAAAAATGAGCATCTGAGGTGAATACACAGTTTTTGGGTAAAGAAGTAAAAATGGCAAATAAATATATGAAAAAATATTCAGCATCACTGGTCATTTGAGATAAACTTGATCATTCCACAACCAAAGCATCACATTGTGTCCCATAAACATATGCACTACAAAGGAAATGCCATCTAAAGTTTTCAAAGTGTATTTTAGGACACTCAAGAAAGTAATAAGAAATTACAGCTCAGTAAGATTGTCCTCAGAAAGACTAAAGATAGCAAGATCTGGTGACGACATAAAGCAGAAGTCCTTGCTTATTGTTGGTGGGAATGTAAATTAGTACAACAGTGATGGGAAACAATATGGAATTCTTTCAAAAACTGCCAAAAGCATTATCCTATGATCTGGCAGTGCCACTGCGGGGTGTATCTCCCAGGGGCATCTGCACTGCCGTGTTCCCAGCAGCCTGTCCACAATAGCTAAGAAATGGTGACAACCCGAGAGTCCTTGAATTGGTAAATGGGTGAAGGAAACCCAGAGCAAATAAGTGGTATTCATTTCACCCCTAAAAAGACTAAGTCATGTCACTTATGCCAACATGGATGAAATGGATCATTATGTAAAGTGAAATGAGCCACTCTTCCTAAATTCATATTATTCTTAAAATCTCTGTATCTGGGGCTAGAGGTCTGCTTAGTAGTAAAAGGCTTTCCTCGCATGTGTGAGGCCTTGGGTTTGATACTCAGCCTCACAAAACAAAAAGTCTGCACATTTTGCATTTGACTTAACTGAATATAATATCATATTTAGCTTTCTGAATATCTTAATAAATGTTATTTTGTTTGAATATACATATGTACATACACACACTACTCTTGTATTTGGTAGGCAAGTTCTGTATTGCCATCAGTTTTCCTGTTTATATTAACACATACAGCGTGTATATTTACACTTATATTTTTATAACACACATGCTATATATGTGTAGTTATTATATATTTAATGATGTAATATATATTAAATTTTTTCAGACAATACAATTACTATTCCAGCTTTCTTTTGGTTCATATTTGCATTTTTCATCTTTTTGCTTATAATCTTTTAAGTTTTGTTTTTCTAATTTATTTTATTTCAGATCATTTTTGGACTCTTTGCAGCTTATTGCATGAAGAAGTTGCATTAGTCTAAGTGGACCCAAATGGTTACCTCCTATAGATGGTGAGGTAGTGGGGGTATAAAAATGATCGAAGTTTGTTATATGCAGATACGTATATGCCAAAATGAAACCCACTTTTTGTACAACTGATATTTTTATACTTTTGGTAGGGATAAATAGGTTGAATTGTACAGAGTTTAATAAACTCCACAAAATGTCAGTTAAACTTGGGTCTTTTGTTCTTGCTTCACATGGCTACTGCGCCCTTTATCTTCTCTGCATATTTTCTACGCTTGCTATACATTCTTGAGTTGAAATTTTCAGCCGCCCTGCTTCCCCTGCCGTATGCTGCTTAGTTGGCTGTTTTCTTTTATAGTAGTTGTGGACAAACGTCACACTCGGCCTGTCGGTGAGTCCTGAGAGTGTAAGGGGAGGGGAAGGATCACAGCTCGGGCTGGAGAGTCTCCCTGTTAATTACTTCACAGTGTCTTGTGACCATCGCCATTATGTCTTGACCTTTTCATCAGCCTGGAGACTCTAATTGTGAAGAATCAATTCCCCATTTTCCTCTGTCCCTAACCCTTGGTAACCTCTTAATCTACATTTGCCCTTTTGTGTCTGGTTTGTTTTACCTAACACCATGTTTTCAAGGTTCATCCATGTATTAAACTTCATTTTTTAGGTCTGGATAGTCTGCTGGTATATATATGTGCCACATCTTGTTTATCCATCCATCATTAATGGACATTGGGTTATTTCTGTCTTGTTCCTATTGTGAGCAATGCTGCAATGAATATTGGCAGGGAATATCTCCAAATATTTGCTTTGAATGTATGCTTAGGAATTGCTGCATCATATTCTAATTGCATGTCTAACTTTTTGAAGAAAAAGAGTGATAATTTTATTCATTTTTAGTCCATTTTATTCACCCTTGTTAGCAATAAATATTGTTCTAGACAATAGCATTTTTATGTGATAACGCACATATCTCATCATTAAAAAGATATTATTGGCATACTTTGAATTGTCTTATCAATGAGGCTGAATTTTATTCTGTTTGTTAGTAATTACATTTCCTCTTTTGTGATGCTTTAGTTTTTTTTTTTTTAATTTTGGTAATGGACATTTTGCAGAATTATATTAAACTCTATCCAGTTAGCCTATTTATTTCTGCCAGTAGTACAAAAATGGGGATCATTTAAAAATTTTTATTAGGGTACATTATTTGTACCAGTAATGGGTTTCACTTTGGCATATTTGTACCTGGATTTAACGTACTTCACCCATTTTGCCCTTTTACTACACCATCGCCCCGAGAGTCTACTACGGATCATTTTTAGTGTTGGTCTCTATTTGCTGATCTTGTCAATCAGTAGCATTTAAGGTCTTCCTTGTTAAAGTCAAGACCATACTTAGGAGCTCTGGATTCCTGAGCAGAGTAAAACTAAGTTTAAATAAGAAATATAATATCCATGGGTTGAGTTATGAGCAAAGCATTTACACATTGCTACTCTTTGATTTGTATCTTTTTCCATTTGATACATGTGAAGGCTGTGTCTACTTACTGGTAAGAAATGTAATGGAAGGCAGACATTGATGGGAATCCACTCATTCTGTGTATTTTGTTCTTTATAGGTGGTCCATGAGTTGGAACTTTATAACACAGGATATTATTTAGGCATGTTTATGAATTCTTTTACCGTCTTTCAGGTATGTTTAGTTTGCTGTATAATTTGGAAGGAAATTAATGCCTTTTACTGTTGGAAACATTATTGAAATTAATGATCATTATGAAATGTTAATCTTTTGTTAATGTATTACTGAAGTGCACTGTTACATAACTATAATTTTAATGGAAAGATAACCCTTCAGTTTTAAAAACAGAAACATTCACCATTAGAAAGGTTAATGGAATTATCATGAAACAGAGAATTTGTTTTCCTGTGTCTTTGACTTTGGAGTAGCTATTTATACATGGATGTATGTCTGGGGGGTGAGAGGAAGAGAGAGAAAATGAGAATACATGTACCTAAGCTCTCAAAAATGAGCAAGGGTGAGTCAGAATATGGGCCACTTATGTGGTTAGAAACATTTAAACTTTAATTAATTAATTAATTAATTTATTGGTACTGGGAATCAAACTCATAGCCTTGCACTTGCCAAGCAAGCACTTGTGCCGCTGAGCTAAATCCCAGCCCTAAAAGAAAATTAAAATTAATTTTTTAGGAATGTGGCCTCTGGGTGTTGACGGATGCACACCTCATGAAGGATTATATCGATGGTGTTTGTAAGTAGGACTTGGAAATATGCTCATAAATTATTTGTCTTTTACCTTGCATTTTTAACCTATTCAGGTAGGTAGGAATCCTTTCAGGTCATGTTTTAAAGTATTGGGACAGAATATGTGATGCTCATTTGGACGCCTATATGATCTTTGAAACAAATGCCTTCCCATTTGCTTTTTGTTAATTTTTGAGGAGGCTAAATACGAAGCTCCTGTGATTCCAGTTTACACTGCAAACTGTGCTACTATTTTAAAATTAGTTAAGAGAAGCAACATAGTTTTTTGTAGTTTGGGCTGGCCTTCAACTCGCTGTGTAGCCCAGGCTGGCTTAGAACTCACAGTGATCCTCCTGCCTCAGCCTCTTGAGGGCTGGGGTTGTAGGCATGCACTGCCATGCCTGGTAGCAATATGTTTTTGAAACATTTTGTTCCTGAGCTTTTTGATAATGCACCTAAACACAGCTCAGTTACTGCTGTAGGATGTCTCTGTTTCTCTGTCTCTGTCTCTGTCTGTCCCCTTCCTAGGAGGTCATATCTGTATCCCGGTTCCACAAACTGCTACATAGTGCTGGCTACTCAGGAATAAGAAGTAGTAACTTCTAGGGGAGAAGCCACTGCTCTCCTTTTTGGCACTAAGTATTAAACCCAGGGGTGCCCTACCAGTGTGCTGCACGCCCAGTCCTTTTTAATCTTTGGAGACAGAGTTTGGCTAAGTTGCCCCAAGCGGGGTGTGACTGTGTGACTTTTTCCCCTGATCTTTAGAAATGTTTTGAATGAAGAAAATGCATCTGTAAGGATGGTTAACATAGAAGTTTCTCTCTTTTCAGGCAAAATCATACTAGTATTTTTATCTGGAAAGCATCTTGGAGATTTGTCACCATTCGTATCCCCGTCTTTGCTTCTCCAGGGGCTCTCGGTTACTCTGCACTAAACTAAGTCCTCACTGTCTGGCTCTGGGCTCTCCTCACCCCCACAGAATACCTTGAGCCCTGTCCTGAAGCTCAAAACAGAATTTTACAGTTTTGAGGATTAATGGAGTCATCATGACCTCTGTGTATTGAAAACACAGGGTACATTTAGCTTTCCTTGTAGAATTCTCTGTCCTGTACAGCCGTCCAGGCATCTCTCTTCACCCACTGTCCAGTCGCAGCTTTTGCTCCTCTCTACTTGCCAGGTCCTGCCAGTGCTCACTGTAATCCTCATTTTATTGTCAGCAGTACAGTTGGGCCTCTGTGTCTGTGGGTTCCACATTGGTGGATTTAACCAACCATGAATTGAAAATATTTTAAAGCGATGCTGTTTGCACTGGTGTGGTGGCTCTCACCTGAATCCCAGTGCTCCAGGGGGTTGAGGCAGGAGCACAGAAAGCTCTAGCCCAGTGTGGGCAACTTGGTGATTTAATGAGACCCTTTCTCAAAATGAAGATTGAGAAGAAGAAGAAAAAAGATTTCTGTCCTGAACATGTTCAGACTCTCTTTTTTTCTTATTCTTCCCTAAACAACACAGTATAACAACTGTTTACATCGTCCTAGGTGTTATCTGTAACCTAGAGGTGACTTAAAGCTTAGGAGAGAGTGTGTAGATTACTGCTGACCATTTTATAAGAGACTGGAACATCTGGAGAGTTCGTATTCCATGAGGTCCTAGAACCAGACTGCCACGATACCAAGGAATGACTGCACTTATTCTGTCCTTTTCATTTTCCTAGAAACTTCCGGCTTTTTATAGTCACAGAAGAAACCTGACATTCCTACTAGCGTATCATGTCCCTGGAAAATTTCCCATGCGGCAGACCCTCATTTTTCTGGCTCAGATTAAATAGAAGCTGAATTTTATGGACTGTTTTCAGACCTTGTATTCAACAGCCCTCTGTTACTTGAAGCTCAAAGTTTTCAACCGTAGCTTCTTCAGTCAACGTTCACGCCAGCACTTTTTTACTTGTGCACCGCTGACTGAGAGTCTTCCTCCTGGGAGTTGAATGTCCTTGTGTTTCGCGCCCTCTAGTGGCACATGCTGTGTTGCCCACGGCAGTGTCCTCACTGAGCACTTCTGTACCCTGACGTTTCCAGTGCCTGTACTTTCGCCTGCCTTCGTGTTCCCTCCATTTGTTAACTGTGTTCTTCGGCCTTCAGTCTTTTGGTTTTCAGTTCCAGTGATTGGCTCCTTTTGCCTCCACTTCTCTCCAGTGCCTAATGCACAGACTGATCATTCTGGTAGCACTCCCTCCCGGTTCCTTGTCTTTCCAAAGCGTCTTCCCCACTCCTCTCAACTCTAGATCAACTCAGCACTTTGTCTTACCCTTTTGTTTCTGCACCCTGATGCCTCACAAATACCTCAGATCCAGTGTGTCATAAATCAGGTTTATAACTTCTCTCCTTAGACCTTACACTTCCTTTCCACGATATGATTTAACCAAAACAGTTCCTTGACTTGGTATGATTTCATGTCTCTTGTAATGAAGTAGTCGTTTCCTCTTTTTTTTTGAGACAGGGTCTCGCCATGTAGTTCAGGCTGGCCTTGGGTTCACTGTGTAGCCCAGCGCACCGTGATCCTCCTGCCTCAGCCTCCCGAGTGCTGGGATTGCAGGTGTGTGCCCCCACACCTGGCCCAGAACTCATTCTTAACTCTTCATACTTAATTCATTAGTAAAGTAACATAGTGACTAGGAAAGGAATTTACTTTCACACATTCCTGACTTCAAATTTTGGCCTTTTGTCCCTGGGGCAAATGAATTAAACTATGTAAATCCCAAGTTTTCCTTTACAGTGTAGAGTGAGTTGTAATGTCTCACAGGATCATTGCGAGGGCCAATACAAAACCATAGAATCATCCTGCATGGAGTGGCTGCAAACGCAGTTTCACATACAGGAATTATTTCAGCAGCCCAAGCGCTTGGGACATGCTCGGCACGTGTGAGCCTGTGGTTTCTCTTTTATGCTGCTCCTAAGATCTAGGGCATTCACTTGGTGTTCAGTGTGCAGAGATGGTCTTACTTGCATGCTTTGCCTGGATGAGGTGTGGGGATTCCCGGCTGGTCTCAAGAGCCAGACACACACTGAGGATGGTGCTCAGAGCCTCCCTGATACATGGTACCTCCATGCTGGGGCAGAGCGTTCCCACTGCCTGAGTCTCCCTCCTGACCTGGACCAGCTTTCTGCTCTCATCAGCTCTCCTTGGCATTTCAGACTCCTTCTAACTCCCTGTTTGTCCCCAGTTTTACGCCCCTGTGATGCCAAAGTTGTCTTTATAAAACATGGGTTAGGTCATGTTTTTGAAGTATTTTAAAACCTTTACTGGATCATTATTGTTTTGAAGATTAAGTCCAAATTCTTCAGCATGACCTAACTTGATATTTTAAAATTTGAACTCAATAATTTTCTTTCTTCTCATTTATATAACTTTTTCCTGATACTCACTGTGATCTGGATATGATTTTGGTACTGAGCTCATATTTTCCCCCTCTGTGGGGGATGCTTTTCACTTGGAGATTTAAGGAAAATGGAATGCAAGTCACTTCAGGCAAAATGGAAACTTTTCTTAGTATATTCTTTCTTCTTTTTTTCATATTAGAAAACCTTTTAGTCGGGTATGGTGGCACATGCCTGTAATCTCAGCACTCGGGAGGCTGAGGTATGAGGATTGCTGTGAATTTGAGGCCAAGTTATCAAACAAACCATTTTATTTCAAGAAGAAAAAGAAATGGAAAGAAGAAAACAACCCCTTAAACAAAATTTCAAAACATGTCAATCAAGAGGCAACAATGGTACATACATTGCACACTGTCATCCCCAAATCATCCAGCCAGAGCACAAGACATCTGCATTCAATTGTCCAAATATTACCAGCACAAATCTTTCTCTTCAGTGAACTCAGAGAAATCAGTAGTATAATTATCTTAACTTTTTATATACATACACATACACATATGTTGTTTCTTTTAGCTTCTCACACTAAAGAGACAACATGATGCTTACACAGTGTCTTTATTCACTGCTGAGTATGGTCTCAAGTTGCACCCATTTACCTGTGGGAAGCTCCACTTTATCCTTCTTTATGGCCAAGCAGCACTCCATTGTGTAAAAGTGCCACATTTTTTTTTTAAATGCATTCCTCAGTCATTTAGGTTGTTTCCAAGATCACCAATTACAAATTGTGCTGCTGTAAACATGAGTGCACATATATCACTATGGTTTGATGTTTTTAATTTTTTGGGGAACATACCCACGAGGGGACTAGCTGGATTGAATGAACCTCCAATTCTAGTTTTTTGGGAAATCTTTACACTGATTTCCACAGTAGTTGTACCAGTCTGAATTCCCACCAACAGTGGAGAAGGATTCCTTTTACCCCACAGCTCCTCCAGCATTTGTTATTGCTTGGTTTCTTGAGAATAGCCATTTTTCTGGGGTAAGATGGAATCTCAGTGTTGTTTTAATTTGTTTTTTTTTTCCCACTTGTGATTTCACATATTTCTTTGCTGTTTTTATTTCTTCATCTGAGAAGTGTTCATTCATCTCAGATGACCATTTTGGGATTGGATCTTTAAATCTAGGAGGACTGATTTTTTTTTTTTTTTTTAGTTCTTTATATGTTGCTGATAACAATCCTTTGTCTAAGGTACAGGTGGTAAACATTTCCTCCCACGTCATTGGTTGTCTCTTCACTCTGTTAGTGGTTTCTCTTGCAATGCAAAAGCTTTTCAATAGGGTGAGATCTAGTTGTTGATACTTTGTGATAGTTCCTGTGTGATTGGGGTTTTAGTCATAAGGTCTTTGCTTACAGGAATGTCTTCAGAGTTTTATTTACTGTATCTTACAGCAGATTTAATGTTTCTGTTTTTATATTAAGATCTTTGATCCATTCTTATTTTAATTTGGTACATGCTGAAAGATAATGGGTCCAGTTTTAATCTTCAGCATGTGTAGAGCCATTTTTTCCAGCACCATTTATTAAAGAGGCTGTCTTTCTTCCAGTGAATGTGTTTGGCACCTTTGTCAAAGAAAA